GGAGCTGCGCCATGCTGCCAGAGCTGCCACTTACTTCAAGGCCACCATCCAGATGCCCCTGAACCCCGGCACCACCACTAGGCAGGGGCCCCATCACTTAAGTCACAGGGGGCCCTGCTTATAACCACTCAGGCCAGTGAGTACAGGGAATTGTCCCTCACCCCCAGACAGCAGTTTATATGATTCTCGTCTCCATTTTATCCTCACAACAACCCTGTGATGTAGGTTAGGCTGAGTGTGTGGCAGGCCCAAGATCATCCCAACAAGCTTCCATGACAGAGTAGGTCATTCCCAGGTCTAGTACAATACTCTAACCACTGCACATCATGACCTTAAACAGCTCTCACACTATTCTGCAATTACCATTTCTTTGCTGCAGCAAACCAACATTCTGATGAGAAAATCTGTGTGGGAGTCTTTTACAAGTGAAATGAATGTGACTTGCACAACACAATGGATTTAATCTGTTGTCAGGTCTCTCTAGGTACAGTAGTCAGGAGGTATTTGACCATGGAAGACTGACTGCAATACATTGCTAAATTATAATCTAAACAGGCAACATCCAAGAGTTACTGGCTTGGATCCAGTGCTGGTTTTCACTGAAGGAAGGGATTTAAATCAACAAAGCACCTCCCCCTCCTGCTGCAGCCCAAAACACCCACCCCAAATGCCACTCATGAGAGATAGGGGACCCTCTGGAACAACATGAAAAGGATTCAGAGGCCTTCAGCAAAAATTGTTTTCTCAACATGTTCGCAGAAATCTTCTGCCAGATTCTATTCCAGTTGGTTTTATGTTCTCAATAGCTGAGGAAAATTTTAAAATAAATATGGTAGAGAGACTAACAAAATCATTCAGAGGATGAAGATTTAATTTGGATACGTTATACATGTGGAGATAAAACACATCAAGCTTTGGCTGTTCAAAATGCAGGAACTTAGAAACAAGAAGCTTTGGACAAAGTCTTAGTAATCCCACCACACCAGAAAGTTATTGAGAAAAGAAAGGAAGCAATCCCTTGACTGAATGGCCAGGAGTCAAGACAACCAGGGTTACTTCCAGAAAAAAATGCACAGCACAACACCCAAGATTCAGATCCTTTCCTGCTATAACATACAATGCTGCAGCCTACATTTAGCAGTCTGCTCCTATTGGCCTACTGTATGATCAAAGCACATCAGTATACTCTCTTTTCTAGATAGAGGCTACCCTAATATTAGTAGGTATTGAAAATTAAGTGTATAACCCTTGAATTACTTTATTTGCAAACTGCCATTTTAACAGCTAATTGTTCCCACAAGAGATAATACCTAGCCATTCCTACATTGTCAAATAGAATGTTGTTTCAAGGATATTTTTACTCTGAAATCCATGTCATTTTAGAGTATAGGAAAATTTTCTGCAACTGGGAAACTGTTTAACAGTAATATTTTACCAGCAAAAAACATTAAGGCAAAAAAAAAAAACAGCTAAAAGAAGATTTAAATGTAAGACTTAGATGTTTATATTACAGAGCCCTAACTTATCTCCAATTTGAAATTCTTCCCACAAATAAAGCACCATCTGCAACCAGAATGCAATCCAATTTACCGTAAGATAAATTATCCCTTGTTGTCAAGGTGATTTCATGGTAGCATCCTGGGTAAAGACAGATTAAACATAACCCCAAATAAATAGGAGGGGTATTTATTTTATAATATTTATTTCTATCAAAAGAGATTAGAAATGAATTTACCAAAATCCCTCTCAGTTCATCAGCTCACAATCATTGCTAGCATCAGACAGCCACATTCCCTCCAGTTAAAACACTTTCATTTTGAATGCATATATCTCCCACACATGAGGCCAACTTGAGATCTAGCATGACAACTCAACTGTTGTAATACTAAAGCATTAATCTTAACCAGTTAGTTTGTTCAGTTCAGTTCATTTGATTCATTGTATCCCCTTCAATAGAGCAATGCAAGTCAACTATTTCAATTTTCCAACAAGACATATTTTAACACCTCATTTTCCCAGTAATACATCAGACAGCAGCAATTCATTACACAAATTCAAGACCACTGTTTTCCTCCTCAGCCATTTCAAGGCAGAAAGCCAGTCTAGACCTTAATTCTTCCACAGGAATCAGCATTCTCTCAGTGAGGGCCAAACCTATCTCACAGGGTGTCCGTTGTGGGAAAGGGGAGGGAAAGGAGTTTGTAAGCTGCTCTGAGAATTCGAGTGAAGGGTGGGATATAAATCCAATATCCTTCTTCTAAAGCTAAGAGTACTGAGAAAGAGCTGCGGTGGCTCAAGTGGTTAAGACGCTGAACTGCAGGCTGTGGAAGGTCAGCAGTTCAGCAGTTCGAGAACCGGGTGCCGCATGATGGAGTGAGCTCCCATCTCTAGTTCCAGCTCCTGCCAACCGAGCAGTTCGAAAGCAAGAAATTGCAAGTAGATAAATAGGTACTACTTCGGTGGGAAGGTAACAGCATTCCGTGCGCCTTGGTGTTTAGTCATGCTGGCCACATGACCACGGATACGTCTTCGGACAGCGCTGGCTCTTCGGCTTTGAAACGGAGATGAGCACCGCAACCCTAGAGTCGGATTCGACTGGCTTTCAAGCAAGGGAACCTTTACCTTTACCTTACTGTGAATAGACCTCCCAACATTTTTTTAAAGGCACATAGATACACAGATGATGGGGGATTAACCCTTTCCACTCTCATATCACTTCAGTGACCTGAAATGGTTCCACAGAGCTGCTATTTGTCTCACTGTGGCCAGCATACAGGCATCAGTGCAGGAACTCACATTATTTCCTCAATCCTGTACCGTGAAACAAAATTTACCACATGTGTCAGAAGGACATCAGAAGGTAGACTTCTCCATCCATGTTCCATATGCCTAGGAAAGGCAGCAATGGCCCCAGCCCCCAACTCAAGTAAAATTGGTGGGGAACTCCCCATGGAGAAATGGACCAGAGGGAAAATAACTGGGGAGAAGGTAGAGAAGAGAAGGTGCTTGAATTTTTGATAGACTGACACTTAACAAAATTACACTTTCACTCTGCCCCCATTTCTGAAGATTTCAAATATAGCCAGCAACACCCTCCACACAAAAGCTGCCAAAATGAATATAATCCCAGATTCTGCACCTCAGTTCTCAGCACTTAGCTCCATGACTATGACATAAAGGAGGACCCCAAAAAACACAGAGAAACTGAAACAATTTCCTATGCAAGGGTTCACACTGCCAAAGAAACAATCTGCTCTTTAAACTAAACCACAGCTTATCTTTTTTTGTAATAGGAAACATTGTGGCAAACAGAGTACACAAAGCTTCAGGCTGCACACATGGTTCTCCTTTATGGTCTTCTTTATTTACATCCTGGAATAAGATTAAAATGGAAATATATTCCATTTTGTATATTTTGACTACTAAGGTTTCTTCTCAGGTGTCCAAGCTAAAAGGCCTCCTAGGTTTGCAGTCTGCTGGGGTTCCTTAAATTAGTATAATAGCTTTCCCATTACAAATATATCTCTCACACTAAAATGTTTTTGCATCAATTTAGAACACTTAACATTTAACAACCAAGTTCTGGTTGGTGATCAAAAACCAATTAGGGTACACTTAAATAGTACAAAACTATTTCTGTGATTAGAGTCATTAACAAATACTCAGCATCAGTTTCATTTGTATATTGACTTTTAAAAATTGAGTAGATAGTGTTCTGTTTCACCTACTGTTGTATGCAGATTAGAAAGGTAAGCACAGGTTCCTGCAACTTGCTTCACAATTGATTCAATAATGTTATGAGAAAAAACATTCAACAGAAATGCAGATACTTGAAAGAGCTCTACTGCCCCCTGGCAAGCCAATGCAAACACACACATTTAGGTCAATACTTAAATATTCAGACACAGTACCCTAAAGCCCTATTTCTCAAATTGATGTTTTCCCATACAACAACAAATATAGTCCCATAGGTAAAACAGAGGACGGGAATATAATATGGGAAAACCAGATTAGAAGAAAAAAGTGGGAAATATCTGGATCAAGTTTACATATGCTTCTCTAAAGAAATAACATTTTGTTCAAGAGATAACATTTTGTACATATGCTTCTCTAAAGAAATAACATTTTGTTCATGATTTATAAAAAAATCTGTATGATCCAATTTTGTTTCAGTATGTTTTGTTAAAAGTCAAGCTACAGTTTATACGGTACTTATTAGTATTTTCATACAAGTGAAAGACAGTTTTGAAAATCAGGACTCAATGCATTGCCAAAGAAAGGACTGCACAATGTAAAAAATCTCAACCAATTGATTCACTTTTTAAAAACTAGGTGAAAACATTGACTAGTAAGTGATCATCTGCTTAACTGGAGCAAAATCAGAAGCAAGCATTCAACAGTCAGAGTGGAACTGGTGCAGGGTAATTATAACCTATATGGTTTCTTGAACTGGAGATCACTGTCCTCTGGAAAGAACGGGGTAGAAAATAACTGGACTTCCTAAAAACTAAGCTTAATGAGCAGCTTGTTTATTTACTGTGGATGCTGTGACAGCAAAACACAAAAACTAATAAAGTCCCAACTAATAAAGACCCAGCCGTGCACATGCAGACAGTTCCACTGGATTGCTGTGACAACCGTAGTCACTCATAAAACTGTAGGTGTGCCCATATCACAATAATTAAACAAACCTCATGTTTCAGGGCTCTGGATCACCTTCCGTGTTTACAGGAGGAAAACAAAAGCTGAACTGTAGTAATTTCAGACAAAAATGGGAAACAGATTCCACTTACAGTACCAATATAACATCTCAAGAAAGCCATCCAGTTTCACAGGGCAACATTACTTATGTTGCTATAAATGTATAAGCAATGTAATGTCTATTTTTGGAACCTGATCATCTACAGCAAAGAGAATTAAGTAAAGGACATGTGGGAAAACCTTCTTACCTTTGAATCTTGATTGATCACTCCAAGTTCCAATACAGCTTGAGGGGACTTTTGTTTTGCCTGGGTAGACTGAGCCATTTGAAGGTTAAGCTGCCATCCAACCGTCTCAAGCTGTGATACACAAATGCATATTACAATAAGATGTACCAATTAAAATGTACCAATACATTATTTCAGTGACGAGTAGTGTTCCCTCTAAGCCAGAGGTGTCAAACTCATTTGTTATGTGGGCTGGATCTGACATAAATGTCACTTTGTCTGGACGGGCCATGTGTGCCATGAAATGTAATGTCAGGTACAGGAGATGTAAACCTTATAAAGGACACAGGCAAACTTAATTAACAATATTAATTTTTATCCAAAATACAAACATGCTTAAAACTTTAACACTCTTACTATATTTCCACAAAGTATCTCCCTGATGCCTACCCTCCCACTTCCACTGCCCATTACTCATTAGCACTGGGACAGTACACAGGGACATAATGCACAGCCTCTGTCATCTGGCAATAAAGGTACTGACCAGTTTCTCGTGGGCTGGATAAGAGCCCTGGATGGGCTAGTTCTGGCCTGAGGGCCCCCTTGTCTAAGCTGTGTGCATGAGCAGCCACTCATTAACACAGGAAGCCCCGCCCAGCAGCAATCCGGAGCCATGCAGGGTCTTGCACTGCCCATGGCCCATATTAAGATTACAGCAGTTATATTCTGCTCAGGATGTGAACTGCTCCACTCGGGGGGAGGGGGAATTAGAGGGAACATTGGTTACAACCACTACTTAGTGACTGGAGTCAGTAAAGGGCAGCCTGGGTATGATGGAGGAAATGGTGGTTGCAACAAAATTTCATCATTCTTCCTTCCCTCAACTGCCTGTGCTTGAGAATTTACTATGTGAAAATCTTTAATAAGTTGATCTGCACTCCCTGAATGTGTTTAGTCATGCCTGACACAGTATCACAAAAATAAATGTATAATGTCTAGACTTGTTAACTAGTTTTATTAGCAAAAGTAGCTGTGTAATATTAAAGAGGTGCTCCTCCTTGAACTGATTAAAATTCAAGCTCAAAAAGCAAAGCTGTGAAGTCTACACGAAGATGTAAGTAGCTTCAACAAACATTTTTGAAGAAGGCATCACAAAACTGCTATTATAATGTTTGCAGAAAACAGAACTTCCCAGGATTTTCTGCAAGTGAGGCTGAACTGTTTATATTTGCCAATATATATTTCCTTTAATTATTGTAAAGTTTCATGTGTTGGTACGTCATGGGCACAAAGGATAAAAACAGCAGGCAAAAATGAGTGAAACCCTATTTCCACTAGGTTATTAGTGATCCTGTAGACAAGGATTGCCAAAGACACCAAGATGCACTGTACCAATGGCATCCCTCCTTCATAAAATCAGAGGTACCACTGGGAGAGCATATCTGGGTCCTTTCTGCACACTATGATTTGTATAGTGGTGAACTATGTGAACTAGACTCACATAGAGTAGACTCCTCTCACAGGCTGCATTCATACAAGTACAGTTAAGTTAAAATAGGAACAAACTCAGCTTCTTGCTTGGTTCACATGTGTGCTTCACTTCCTCTTCTCCCTCCACGCACAGAATGCAAGAAAGGATGATGCTACCTCCAGCTACCCACGCCATACAAATGTACAGAGTTCGTTTCCCCACTCATGCCCCAACTGGGTCTCTAAGCCAGAGTTAAATTCAAGCTTAGAATCCCAGGTAGCAGGGACACACTAAATCTAGTTCACCTGCATTCACATCCGGTAGGTGGCTGGTGTTAACTTCAAACCTGGATTACTTTATTGCACTTTATAGGAGAACAGAGGAGGGAGGCACATATTCAAGCACAGCAACAAACCATGCATGTTTTAACTTAATTAAGTTTGCCATCTGAATGCAACCTCCCTGGAACAAACTCAGCTTCTTGCTTGGTTCAAACGTGTGCTTCACTTCCTCCTCTTCTCCCTTCACGCACAGAGTACAAGAAAGGAAGATGCTACCTCCAGCTACCCATGCCATACAAATGTACAGAGTTAGTTTCCCCACTCATGCACCAACTGGGTCTCTAAGCCAGAGTTAAATTCAAGCTTAGAATCCCAGGTAGCAGGGACACACTAAATCTAGTTAACCTGCATTCACATCTGGTAGGTGGCTGGTGTTAATTTCAAACCTGGATTACTTTATTGCACTTTATAGGAGAACAGAGGAGGGAGGCACATATTCAAGCTCAGCAACAAACCATGCATGTTTTAACAACCCATGGTTAAGTTTGCCATCTGAATGCAACCTCCCCATCTGACAAGCCCTTCAGGTCCTGACAGCCACACAGCTCAATCTATTATTATGCAATATTTGAAAGTTGGCTTATTTATAAACATTTTATTTTGTATGTCACCTTTGTTTGTATTTGTATGTACGACTTCCACTGAGAAAATCAAACAGGAACACCATATGGTAAGCTCATTTAAATACGTCAAGATATTTAAGATATTTAAAGAACATAAGAACATAAGAGAACATAAGAGACACTAATGTTGGATCAGGCCAAAGGCCCATCCAGTCCAACACTCTGTATCACACAGTGGCCAGAAATACCAGGTGGGTCCCCCAGTGGGGCCAGGACATTAGAAGCCATCCCACTGTTGACCCCCCAAGCACCAAGATGACAAAGCATCACTTGCCCCAGAGTCCCTATCTATACCTTGTGGCTAATAGCCACTGATGGACCTCTGCTCCATATGCTTATCTAATTCCCTTTTTAAGCCGTCCATGCTTGTAGCCGCCACCACTTCCTCAAGCAGGGGGGAGAAATTATTCTCAGAAGTTTTGAGGCAGAATGAATAAATATGTATTTTAATACTGAATATACAGTTTCAGTGAATTCATCTATAAGTCATTTGTTATGAAGGAATCAAGTCCTCTGACCTATTGGCATTACAACGTTTGTTTTAAAAGTTTTATCTGTTTTCTGTACAGACAGGGATACCATGAACGGAATGGTCATCTGGGGACAGGAACTCACTTACAGGTAACAGCATCCTCTAATCATCTGCTATCAGGATTTTTGTGATTTCAAGTGGATTTGTATTTCAGATACAGAATCACCATTGGGACAGTCATTGTGTAGTAACTGAGTATATTACATGCTGCAACAAACGTCTGCTAACACAGTGCCCTAAGCTTACAAAAATGTCCTCTATGACACAGGCAGATCAATGATAACTAGCTCTTCAAACAAGCCTCCACAAAACATTTTCCTCTTTACAGAAAACAATCATTCGAACCCACACAAAACTAAAATTTTCTTACGTGTGGCATAAGCTTTTCGCTTCTGCTCAGCTGGCAGCCATCTTGGAAGGTCTTCAGCTGCACGGACTAAACCAAAGTGGCGCTCCCTTCCCTGTCACATCCAACCTGTACAATACTCTGATGCCACTACATCAGAGAAGACATGTTGTATCACAGCTTCCTTCACAACTATGGGGGAGGGGCTGGGCTGATTATACCACATTTGTATTGAGAACAAAAATATGGGACACATTTCAGATTACTTAACATTACAGAACTGGGTGGAGCCATCACACAAACCATACGGCAGATCAATTGGGTTTGCAAGCAAAGGAAAAAGCAGGCAACTTTCTTTTCACATATTGAATGGTTTTATTTTTCCAATGCAATTCAACTGGATTTTCCCCCATTTCTAGCAGTTGAGTATGCTTTAAGAATTTTTTATTAATGTACCATAAACTGCCAGAGGGCCTCAGATTGGCTTACCTATTTATTTTATTGAAAGGAAGATTGAATATAATAGAGTTCATTCTATTTTGACTGCTTAGGATCCATGATATATGACTACAATAAAGTGGGACAAGGCATACAGACATATAGAAGAGAGTTACTAAGGGCATGCTGAGAAACAAGGACACAAACTCGAATCTTCCAAATGAGCAAACATACTTTATCTGTTTTGTTTTTGCAGGGTAATAAACATGCATTTAACAGGAACTTGTTCTAAGGATAGTTTAGCAAAAACCATTTTCATGCCTATTAGGCTTACTACAAGTGGAGACCCGCAAGAAACTATACTTTATCTGTTTTGTTTTTGCAGGGTAATAAACATGCATTTAACAGGAACTTGTTCTAAGGATAGTTTAGCAAAAAACATTTTCATGCCTATTAGGCTTACTACAAGTGGAGACCCGCAAGAAACCTGCGGGATGGTTATCTCATTCGTCACACCTTTGCTTCCTCTCCTCACCCACTACCTCTCTCACACTATTTCTCCCCTCTGCCCCCCTTTTCTTACTCTCTATTTCTCCTCCATGCATGTGACTTCCTCTCTCTTTCTGACCTGCCATCTTTCTCTTTGTTTTTCTGCCTCCCCACTTCATCACTCTTTCTCTCTTTCTGCCCCCACCCCATCATTCTTTCTTTCTGCCCCCATCACTCTCCCAACCTCCTGCCTGCTTCCTTCCCCCACTCCGCAGAGCAGCAGCAGTGGTGGTGGCAGTGCTCCTAGCCACCCACCTGCTTCCTCTCCCCCCACAGCAGCAGTGGCAGTGGTCTGGGAATCAC